GTGCTCCAGTGCTTCTTGTCGGTCATCATAGTTGATTCATCTGTCCGTGAGATTCGACACACACACACACAGAGGAGAGCATGAATTCCCATATTGACTATGGATTGATCGAAACCATTTCGGAATTTGATGGGATACTGCTTGAAATCCGTAACACAGAGATGGAACCGAGAATTTTGGAGATGTAACGTTTAGGCCTGTGGTTATGGACTGTGAACTGGTGGTAGGCCCGGCAAAAACAGGCACGTTTGTATCTCCTGAGCAATTCGCTTCTGCGAAACCGCCAAAATGATTTTCGTCACACTGAACCTACTATCTCGCTCCCTAATCTGAAGTAGAATTGTCCCGGGATAAGACATTATCTTACGCATATCAATGCATCTGGAATCACTTGCGAAATGCGGTTTTCACCGATCCTCGTAGCCAATGATGTGGCGTTTTCATGTTCAACAGGCCCCGGTATTCCGACAATGCGGTTTGGCTATTTAGTATCAGTCAATATTCGTCATTTCGGTATTTTCACGGGACTAGCTGAGTGGGGTAGCATTTTTGCATTGGCATTTGAATTAGTACAAAGATACCTACACGAAGTAAGGTATGTCATAGAAAGGCGCACAAATATTCTTCTGGTTTCACCTCCAGTTGGACGCTATTGAGTATTCCTCTGAACGTGAGATTCTTTTGTGTGCCGAAATATTTCGAGAGAATGTTTTGTATACAAATCAATCCTTACCGCGGTAGTTACTGATAGTGACATATTTTACCCCTATGTTCTCCGCTCCTAATGGATACCGCGACCTTCTATTGCACATGCTCAGATGCAACTCCACTCAAACGACCTTTTCTCTGTTTGTCCGACGAATGGAACACACACGTGATTTGCCCTATCCCTATGACATCTCGAAAAGCCTTAATCTTTCGCTAGATTACGCAACCATCAGTGTGAATTTCGGTCCTTTCGGTCAGATTGATTGAAGAGCACATAGTTCAGGTGCGAAATGTTAAATCAGTTCACCTGGCTTGAGGTGGTGGTACACCGGAGTCAACTCGGAACACGAATTCCAGACTAACTTAGTGGTCTGTGTCTACTAGGCGGTTGAGAATCGCAGGTCAACTATTTACTG